TTCGCTATTCTAGCCTTGAACTCGCGGCAGTCCCGCCTCAGCCTCCAGAGTGCTGGCTCGAAGCCCTGTGCCACCACGCCCAGCTATCCTTTGGATTTCTCAGGCAGGAGAAGCCATGTGATACTTAAGCCCGTGTGTCTGATTTACTTTGCTTAACATCATGATCTTGAACTTATCCTTCTTTGCGGCAGAGTAGTACTCCACAGTGTAAAAACAACCCATTTTCATTCCCCTTTCATCTGCTGGAGGGCATGCAGGCCACTTCCAGGATTATCTGTTATGACTGCGCTGCTCTCAACGTGGGTTTGCACGGGCCACAGTAACATGATATCTTTAACTCTCTTAAGAAGGTACCAGAAGGGAAATAGCTAGGTCCAAAGGAATTTCTTGCTTTAGTTTTTGAGGACTCTCCACACTGATTTCCACAGTGGTTGTACCAGCGCACATCCCCCAGCACTGAGCGGGGGCTCCTTTCCCCACCACCCTGCCAGTGTTGGCTACTGCTGCATTTCTTGGTTCTTTCTGGGAGGACAGAGCTCAGCGCTGTTCTGATGTAATCCTGTATTCTCAGCGTAGCTGCTTATTCCTTCAATCCTGAACACACACGGAGTTTCAAAGTTGCTAACCACTGTGCGGGGCAAGGAGAGCCTAGTGAAGCTGAAGCTCCACAGTTTTGCCTTTATTTAAAGACAAGGTCGACAGACTGAAGAGCGCGGCCGAGCCCCGGGGCTGGGCGAGTCCTCGCTCGCCCTCGCAGCCGCCCCCCTCCCCTGCCTCCCACCCCTGCAGCAAGAGCGCCTGCTCCTGCCTTCCCAGCAGGCGGCGAGGCCTGACTCTCCAGTCCTGAGCCGGCCTCTGCACGAGGTGGGAAGGTCCAGCCGGGGCCCAGGTGCCCCAAATATCCTTAGCCGATAAATGAGAACTTAGCACAGAGGGTCCTGAAACACCCAGAAAGGGAAGCATCACGAGGCGCTGCGACGTCGCCTCGTCGCCTCGGCGCTCACATCCCAGGCTGTGTGAGCTGGCAGGGGGAGGAGACGCGTGCCCCAACTCATCACAATTAACCCAAGCGCGCTTCGGACGAGCGGAGGTGGCAGCCACACGGCAGCGTGCTGGGAGCCTGCGGAGGGGAGCTGTCCTTTGGGCAGCTCTGGTGGACGCGGCCAGTGTGAGGTAACCCCCCCGAGCACCCCCTGCGTGTGTAGTGTGCTGCTGCGATGGGGCCGGCGCCTCACGCTGCCGCTGCCTCCGCCTCCTTCCATGTTCTCTTCCGAGACAGCATCTTGCGAACTCGCCGTCCTCCTGCCTCAGCCTCCCGGAGTGCTGAGGCGACAGGCGCGCATCACCGTGCCAGGTCCTACTGCAACTTTTGAAGCAAGATCCATTAAACTGTGTAGGAAAAAGAGAAAGAACAAGGTGTGCGACTGCTTGCTGGCCCTGGTGTTCCGAACGCTGGTCTAACTTCTTGGAGACGTGCTGGTCAGTCTGGACCCAGGAAAGCCCCAAGTGGCGCGCAAGGTGTGGCCCCCACCCAGCACGGACGGCTGAACCCTCCCTGGGGACCGCGGGGCTGCGCCCAGACAGGCGAGGACACCGCGTCTGCTGAGGGTGGATTTGATCGACTTGGGGATTCATAAACATAAAGAATTAAAGGGTTTTTGTTGTTGTTTGCGGAACCGGGTATTGAACGCAGGCCCTTGCGCTTGCCAGGGAAGCGCTTATTCCACTGCGCCATCTCCCTGGTCCCAAGAATTAAAATGCAGAAGGAGCAACAAAGTCTCTTTATTGGAAAGAGGACAGACATGTGGAGATGGACGCCTACCTCCTCGGAGTAAGGTAGGGAGCCTGGAACCGACGCTCTTGGTTATTAGCGCGTTTCCCATAGGACAGAGGCACTCCGAGAGAGCTGCGTTTGGCTGTTAGAGGCTCTGGGCCCCGATTCGGCCACAACCCTATCCACTGTTTCCGTGCAGATTCTCAAGGTCCTGCGGGAGCGCCGTGAGATTTATAGCAGAGCCTCACAGTCAGGGCTGGGGTAGCAAGTAACGAAGCTACGCTTGGTGAGGAGTCCCGCGGCGCATGCGTGGGTGCGTGCAGTGCATGGGTGCATGCGTGTGTGGGTGCGTGCGTGCGTCGGTGCGTGGTGCGTGCATGGGTGCGTGCATGGGTGCGCCCGCGTGCCTTTGCCCCAGGAGAAGGGGGTTTGCCATGGCAACCCCTCCCAGCAGAGCCTCCTGCTCCTTCGTTCCCCAATCTCAGCTGCACTCCCTCGCCGGGCTTCAGCTCTGTCCACTCAGGATTTGCCAGAAACCCCACGAAGTCCTTCCCTTCCCCGCCTGTACCCCAACTTCCCCTGCAGATGCCCCGTCTGCTGGTAAATGAAGGACCGTGGGCCGGCTTCTCGCTGCCTCCGTGCACATTTTAATCCCATTCACCCCACACTGCCCAGGAGCAGGCACAGCTTCCCGGAGCAGTGTCCCACAGCATGTGACGTCCCACACGGGAGCAGGGGTCCTGCCCCCCCCAGGCCAGCAAGGGCCTACAGGACACAGCGGGAGCAGCTGCCACAGGGCTGCTCGGCCCAGCTCTACGGGATCTGGTCTCGCACGATCTTCAGGTGGCCCGGCTGCGTGGTCGGGCCAGCCAGCCGGGCCAGCGCGTCCTGCCTTCCGCCCTCCTTCCTAACACTGGAAGACAAGAAGCAGGGCGGCCTTTACCGCCTAGTCCCCGCCGCCCTGGAGCAGCACCGGGCGGGGCGGGGTGGGGGAGGAAGCACTTCGAGGGCACCAAGACCCACACAGCGCTGTCTCTCTGAGCCGCTCTCCGCACCCTCTGTGTGACATTGTCGCTGGCTCTGGGGGAATGACAGCCACCAGCTGCAGAGGGCTGCTGGCTCCCAGCTGAGGCCTGGGATGTCACCTGCAGTCTGCAGCTCTCCGGAGACCAGGTGAGCACCCACAAGCAGGAGCCACCCGTCCCTGAGCCCAGGAGCTCTAGAAGAGCATTGGAAAGCTCCTAAGAGCCACTGTCCTCTGCTGGGAGGGGGACATGGTGCTGGGAGGGGGACATGGTGACCACCTCAGCCACCACAGTGGCCCTGCCCAGCTCCACACGCCCAGGGGTCAGGGCTGGAAGAGGGACGAGTAAGACCAGCGCAGGAGCGGTCTGCGCAGACCTGGTGCCACAGGTGACAACTTACTGGAGGAGGGCTGCCACCCGCAGGTGGATGTAGCTCAAGGACGCCTGGCCCAGCGGCCCCACGTCATTCCCGCTCACATCCAGGTACTCGAGATGCTGGCTGGCATTGAGCATGGGCACCATAGCCCTGCAGGCCACCTTGGTGAAGGAGCAGCTCTCCAGCCTTGAAGAGGGGGCAGGGGTCAGTGCCGCCAACTCCTGTCCCACTGCGAGGGACCACAGGAAATCACCGCCCCAGGGAGGAAACATCCACTCACTCTAGGACCTGCAGGGCGAAGCCGGAGTGCGCCAGGGTCCTGGACAGGAAGAGCATGCCATTGTTGGTCAGGTTGTTGAAGCTGAGGTCCAGGCTCCGGAGGGCTCCCCTGCTCTTGAGGACCGGGGCGATGTAGCGACAGCAGGCGGCGGTCAGAGAGCACCGTCTCAGCCTGCAGGGAAGCACAGGTCGCAGTTCCACCCCCTGCTGCCCAGTCTGCGTAGAACTGCTCGGCGGCACAGCGCCGTGCCAGAAGGCGCGGGGCTCAGGGCCTCATCCTGCCCTGCACTTTGACCCTGCACCCTCAAGCCTGGCTGCAGCCTGCGGGTGGCGCTGTGCAGTCTCCACCTCAACTTGAGCCCGGGGCCCTTCTGACACCAGGTCCTTTCTTATTCCTCCCCCAGGACCCAGCTCCAGGAAGCCATGGACCCACTTTTTCTCCTGCACAGCCATCTTGTGCTCCCACCTTTCCAGGCCCCTCCGCATCTCAGCACGGGGCTGTTCCGTAGTGTAGTGGTTATCACATTAGCCTCCCACATCTCAGCCCAAGCCAGCACGCTGCTTCTTTTTGCGGCTGTGTAGTATTCCGTGCAGCTCCAGGCTCACCTTTTTTCCTTCATCCACCTTCTGACACAAGGTCTTCACCTCTTTCCTCTTCTGACTGCTGCTGCCTGAACACGGCGCAATTCTGCCCTATTTCCCTGCACATACACCCTGCAACCTGTCTAGTCTACATTGCACCTTTTTTTTTTTTTTTTTTGTTCCAGGGATTGAACTCAAGACCTTGCACTTGCCAGGTAAGTGCTTATTCTATTGAGCTATCTCCTCGGCCCTTGCATTTCACCTCTTGAGGGCTGTCCAAACCTGCTTCCTGACGTGCTGGCACCGTCCCTGCTTCTCCTGAGGAAGCCCAAAGTGCCAGTGCATCCGGAGGTATTTGGGGCCCCTGGGAGCATTTCAGAAGCACTTTGGGAAATTTCCCAAGTGACAGGAACCGCGCAGGCACAGCCTGTGCTCTTGCGGGCATGAACCAGAGTGAGCCAAATAGAGAGGCGAGGAGCCAGTGGTGGCGGTGGCGGTGGTGGTGGGGACGCTGTGGTCTGCCTGCCCTTCCCAGCAGGTGCTTGCAGCCTCCCTGCCCAGCTCCAGGTGCACAGAGGGGAGGGTGGGGTTGGGGCAACCCGGGGGTAGAGGGGACCCAGGAGGAGATCTGGTTTCAGAGATGTGGAGTCCTGTGCAGGGCTGGCTGCGCCTCTGCCTCCCTGGGGCCTGGGTCCCCTCTCACGTCGGACGGCCAGAGCTATGAGACCTCCTCTCTGAGCCCCAGCAGGAGGCACAGATGTGTGACCCAGACCTGGAGACTCCAGAGACTTCCTCTCGAAGACATGGCATCATTGGCCCCAAGCTCACCACCCTCCTGCCTCAGCCTCCCGAGGGTGCTGGGGTTGCAGGTGTGAGCCACCACGCCTGGGTCCTTAGGAGCCTTGTGACAAGCTTCCTCTAGGGACGGCCACTTTGCCTTTTGAGGCCCTCCATGGGGAGGAAGGCAGTGCGACCTGACTCCACCTCCAGTGCCAGAGCCGTGATGAGCAGATGCCCCTCACCTGCCACGCCCCTCCCTGACGCCGGGTTCACTCTGGGTGCCTTGGGCCAGAGAGCCCGTGCCCAGCTAGCCTGCCTCCGCCTTGGAAATAGCAGCACCCTTCTTCCTGGCTGCCGTCCCCGGCCCAAGACGCCAGCGGCGTGCAGCCTCGTGCCTGAGTGACCAGGGAAGGCGCGTGGGACTTACACCAGCCTCCGCAGGCGGCTCTCCGGGCTTGCCAGCACTGTCCAGATGTGCATGGCCCCGGCGTCCCCCAGGGCGTTGCCTGCCAGGCTCAGGTGGGTCAGCTGTGGCCTGCTCCTCAGACACAAGGCGAGGTGGGGGCAGCACTGCTCCGTGAGCCCGCAGCTCTCTAGCCTGGGGACAGAAACTCGGGTGAGCAGAGGTCAGGGCCCCATGTGAGCAGGCAACGTGAGCCAGGCAAGGTGGCACATTCTGTGACCACACTGTGGGAGGCTAAGGCAGGGGCATTGAGGCAGTTGAGCATCTCCGGGGAACCAGTCTCAAAATAAACATGAAAAAGGGCTGACGGTGTCACACAGGGTACAGTTCCCAACACTGAGAAGGCCCCAACTGGCCAGACAGACAAACCAGGCCCACCCAGGAACCAGCAGCTCAAGAGCCAGCCGGGGGAGACAGAGCCACAGAAGCTCGGACATAGGGGCAGACGCGCCGCGTGCACACGGAGGCCTGCAGCTTAGAGAGGTGAAGAAGACCACTGAAACTGTGGAAAGCCTCATTAGGAGCCGGGCGCCACTGAGAACAGCAAGATCCCTTTCCTGCACAGCAGGGTGGAAAGACAGCTGAAGAACACGGCCAGCAAGGAGTCAGAGGAGCTATCAGGTGCGCTGCAGGGTGTGTGCGCGCATGTGTGTGTGTGTGTGTATGCACGTATGTGTGCACATCACTACGTAAGAACCGAAAGCCAAGCAAACACCAGCTTGCAGGGTAGCGGAGAAAGCTGCACGCTTACACCCGCTGCACCAACCCACACCACCATCTGGCCTTGAGGAGGAACCAGCGGGAGGAGCCACCCGACACCAACCAGCACAAACATGCTGGGGGGGACGCATGTGTGCACATCACTACGTAAGAACCGAAAGCCAAGCAAACACCAGCTCGCAGGGTAGCAGAGAAAGCTGCACGCTTACACCAGCTGCACCAACCCACACCACCATCTGGCCTTGAGGAGGAACCAGTGGGAGGAGCCACCCGACACCAACCAGCACGAACATGCTGGGGGGGACGCACGTGGAAGACTCCCTCTGGGTGGCGCTCCAGAGTGGTCTGGTGCCGCGTGCTGCCCTCTGAGGGTGAGCGTGTGGAGACCGCCAGGACAGCCTTGTCTGGCCCGCTCCAGGGCCATCGCATGGGAGTGGGACGTCTGTGGGCAGGGACGCTATGCTGGTGAAGGTCATTGTTCCCCAGGGCCAAGGCACGATGCTCTTGGGGACACAGGTGGTGCAGACAGGCGCCTGTCAGCTGGAGCCCTGGCCCACCCCACTCACGTGAGCCTCCGGAGCTGCCCAGCCAACACAAAGCCTGCTGCAGACTGCTCCAGGCAGCCTCCTCTCAGCACCAGGGTCTCCAGGTGTGTGTTGTGTTGAAGATCGCGGGCCAGGAGGATCCAGTCTCGAGGGGAGACCTTGCAGCACTCCAGCCTGGGAGGACAAGGATGGACACACACACACACACACACACACACACACACACGGAGATCACACATGGGCTGAGCCTGCACCGGGGAAACAGCACCCAGGGTCCACAGACCCTAGAGCCCTGCGCTGCTAGGGAGGACCTAGAATGCTCCTGGACTCTCTCAGCCACTTCCCTCATATCCAGCCGCCATGTGGGACCCGAGCTGCATGTAGCCCTTGGGTTTTGTGTTTTTGTCTTTTTGAGACAGGGTCTCACTATGCAGTTCAGGCTGGCCTTGAGCTTACTTTGTAGCCTAGCCTGGTCTTGAACTCCCAAGCATCCTGCCTCAGTCTCCAAGTACTGGGATTACAAGTGTGTATCACCATGCCTGCCCTTAAATCACAGCTTAGGGGTGCCCTCTCTTCCTTTCCTTTCTGCAGTACTGGGGCTTGAACTTGGGACCTTGTGCTTGCCAGGCAGGCACTTATGCCAATGAGCTACATTCCTTGCCCCAGAGGCACTCATTTCCAAAAGCACCCAGGTGAGGAGTGACGCGCAGCCACGGGGGTGACTTCGAGGCCAAGCCAGGCTTTACCTGGAGCCCCTTGTGCAGCAGAGCAGTGCCCAGGCAGCTCCGCACTTTGGCTGCGGTAGGCCACTTCCTCACCAGTTGTGCAGATCAGCTCTGCCCCGGCTGGGCCTCTGAGTGAAGCCACCAAGCGAAGAGGCTGGAGCAGGCTAGTGGCAGCGTTTCCACCGTGTGGCTCCAGGAGCATCACCTCAGCACAGACCAGCCCCAGTGCTTCAGGTCCCAGCCCCACCTGGCCCCGCTCCTCACCTCAGAACCTGCACGCAGCACTCGGGGGAGCGCAGGGCGGCACGCAGCTGCCTCATGGCCTGGTACCCGACTTTGGCCTGCTGGACTTCTAAGGACCTCAGGTGCGGCTTCTCAGCTACGACGCAAAACAAGTCTGCATGCAGCGTGGTCTGCCCCACGCGCCTTAACCTGAGAGAAGGCACAGGGGCTCACTGTAGGGCCTTGCGGGGTCACCCCGGCCCCGGGGCTGAGCAGCTGGGACCCCAGCTCAGGCGCTCATGACAGGACGAAGACCGCAATGCCGAAGCTAAAGATGGACACACATGCAGCAAGTCAGGCCGGTGAGCAAATTGTGCAGAATGCGGGCAGCCTCATGGGAGCAGCTCTGAGCTTGGTTCAGAGGCCCAGCAGGCAGATGGATAAGGTGTGGTACGTAAATGCAAGGGAGTATTGCTTAGCCATGAAAAAGGAGGGGTTTTAGCCATCTGTGGGAACATGAATGGATCTGGAGACCATAATGCTGAGTGAAGACAGTCGGTACAGAAGGCTAAACACTGTTTCTCCTTAGTGAGGAGCCCAAAGTATAAATAAAGGGCCGGCAAGATAGCGCAGTGGACTACAGCACCTGTTCAGCCAAGCTTAGGCAAGTGCAGGGACCGTGGGTCGATCCCTGGCACCACAGGCCGCGCCCCCAAGGAGGGCTGAGCCGGCCAGAGTCCGGGTGTAGTGGAGCACACCCGTAATCCCAGCGCTGGGGAGGCTCAAAGCAGGAGGATCACCACAGAGTCCGAGCTGCGTGGTGAGACCCTGCAACAGCCAAATACATTAAAAGAAAAAAGGAGTATAAATAAAGAGCAAATTGGGGAGGCGGACTCTGGCACCGGGGAGGGTGCGGCCAGGGGAGGGTCAGACAGGGAAGGCTGGGCCCGCCTTAGCTGCTTTTCTCTTGCTTGCGAGACAACATACCCGGCCCTCGAAGTTAAAGGACACCTGTTCAGCGCACAGGCTGGTTTCAGTCCACAGTCCACTGGCCCAAGGCGGGGCGGGGCGGCAGAGGGGCCTCGAGAGCAGGCGCTGCACCCGGGCCAGCGGGGCAGGGGACAGACAGGGGTCCCCTAAGGGCAGCTAACTGTTACCCATCGCGAAATCCCCCAGCGGAGCTAACAGCCGCCTCCGCCGCCCGCCCACCTCCCTGCGCCTCGCTTTCCGTCTCCGAGGCGGCGCGCCGCGGCTCCCGAGGGCTCAGCGCTGCGTGCCACCTCGCAGGCCAGGGACCGGGCTCGGCCTCGGCGGCCTGCCCCAAGCCTGCCCGGCCGGCTCTGAGAGCGCCTCGTCCTCACCATACCTGCGGGTGGACGCGGGACCCTTGCGCGCCCCTCACCCAGCTCTTCAGCCCGGTCCCGCCCCTCAGAGCACCCAGGTGCCCCCAGCAGGTGAGGGAGAAAGAAGGGGTGGGAAAGACGCAGATCGCACCTCCCTGGGAGGCCGAGGCAGGAGGCTGCCTGCAAGCTTCAGCCCAGCCCGGCAACTTAGCAAGACCCTGTCTCCAAATTTAAAACTTGGCTGCAGTCATAGCTCAATGCAAAGGTCCTGTCTGGGTTTAATCCGCAGGAGCTCAAAAATAAATAGGTATTAAAAAGGAAATGCCGTCGTTTGTAACAGATGAACCGGTGGGCATCACGTTGAGCACGCGCAGCCCGGCGCGGAAGCCAAAACTCTCAGCAGCGGGAACAGCGATCCCAGAGGCCGGGAAGGGCGGAGGGAGCGCAGGAGAAGAGGCGAGGACTGGTGTAGAAACACAGGCAGGCCGGAAGAGGGCGCGCTAGTGCTCACAGCGCAGAAAAGGATAACGTTTGAGAAGCTCGCCAGGTGTGGTGGAGCCCCCTGGGATCTCAGCGCTCGGGAGGCTGAGGCAGGAGGATCCCTGAGTTAAAGGTCAGCCAGGGCCACATGGTGCTCAAAGCCAGCCTGAACCGTGCAGTGAGACCCTGTCTCAAAAACAAAACAAAACATTGAATTCTCTAGTGCCCAGCAACGTTGAAGGCCATTTGTACCTCTTCTGAGAAGGGTCGGTCATTCTTTGTTGGCCTTTTTGGGGGAGGGGCTAACTCTTTTGCGCTCTCAGGATGTTGTGCAGATTAGCCTTCTGCATGAGGAGGAGCTGGTGAGCCGCTTCCCATTCTGTAGCGCCTCTCCACTCTGGAAACTGGCTCTTCTGCGTGCAGGAGGTTTTTGACTTAAGACGTCCCATCTGTTGATTCCTGAGACTATTTTCTGCTCAGAAAGCCCCTGCCTATGCCCCGGGGGCGCCCGTTTTGGTCTTCTAGCAGGCTGCCTCTCGTTTGTGCATGTAGTCCCCCGACCCTTGATCCTAGTCCAGGGCGTGCTGAGAGCTGTGGCTCCGGTCAGTCTTCTGCAGCGCAGGGCCGGCTCCCAGCACCTCGTTTATTAACGAGGCGGCCGCTCCTCAGCGCGCGGCTGCAGCCCTCCTGCCAAAGCTCCAGTTGTGGAATGCGTCTCTGGTCGGCTCTGCGCCCCGCTCGGCCCCTCCAGCTCCCGTGCCCGCTTTGGTGCTGGTGCTATGCTGCTGTTTTTTTTTTTTTGTAACATCAATAGAGGTGTATTCAAAATCAACACAGCATATCCAATTTCTTCATTCTTGAGAAAACATCAAAGAAAATTTTCAACTGAAAAAGCGCACTGCTTTTAGTTAAACCCCAACACCTTTCGCAGGTAAAGAGCAATCAGGCTATGCTGCTGTTTTTTTTTTAAAATTAAAAAATTCACTGTAGCTTTATGACCACTATAAAATGGTAAATTAAAATAACACTAAGAGTTCATTTCATCACAGAATGAATGTCCATCATCTAAAAAAATCAAATGAAGGGGGCTGGGGAGATAGCTCGGCAGTCGGAGCGCCTGCCTGGCAAGCACAGGGGCCCGGGTTCGATCCCCAGCGCCATGGCCAGCCTTGCGCCGTGCACACCTCTAATCCTAGTGCTGGGAGGCTGACACGGGAGGATCGGTACACGTCTGAGCTGCATAGAGGGGCCCTGTATCAACTATAAATGAATTTTTAAAAAAGAAGTCAAGTAACAAATGCTAGAGAGGCTGTGGAGAAGAGGAACCCTTCTTCTCTACTGTTGGTGGGCGTGAGAACTGGTACAAGTACCGTGGAAATCAGTGCAGAGATTCCCCAAAAACTAACTGTACGAAGGCCGTGTGGCCCAGCCTTTCCGTGCCGGGCGCCTTCCCCTCAGGGCTGGTCAGCACACCGCAGTCCCCGTGCACGGCACGTTTATAGCAGCACAAGCCACCATAGCCAGATCTCAGAAGTGGCCCATGTGTCCCCGCCAATGTGGCATTCACATACCACGGAATACTAAGGAGGAGGAACTGGGTCATCTGTAAGAACATGGGCACGCCTTGAGGCCAGAGTGTTACGTGAAGTAAACCAGATCCCCAGCCTTAGATACTACGTATTTTCTTGTGTGGGAAACCCAGAGTGCAAATACAAAGCCAACTGAAAGACAGATGTAGAGAGTAGGAGACAGAGCTTTCCCTAACGGGGGGAGAGAGGAATGGGGATGGGCGGGTCTGTGCCGCTGCGTCCAGAGGTCTCCCAGTGCCCCGTGTGGTCACAGGTGGGGCCTTTCAGAGTGGCTGGACCCAGCGTGCGCAGCACTGGGATGGACTCACGGTGCAGTGCTAGGCTCCGGGGCGCTGCCGGCCCTGAGCAGCCCGGGTGGGGCAGGAGGGATAGAAAGAGTTGTGGCCGGCTCTTGCCGCCCTGCTCCCTTCTGCCCACCATGGACCGTTTCTCCCCTGCCACACCGCCCTGCCTTGGAGCCAGCCGAGTGTGGACTGAAACTTCTATGACTGAGCTAAATAAACCTTTCCTCCCTTAACTTTGGGCATCAGGTATTTTACCTTGAGACAAAATACAGAAAGGCAATGATAGAGAGTCCCTAAGCCAGTGCCCGCGTGCCAGGCCCTCCTGCCACGGGGTCTCGTCACTCCCGAGAGGCAAACCCCTAACTGAGGAAAGTGGAGGGCGACGCCGCCTTGACCAGAGGGCACCTTTTCAGGAAAGTAGAAGCCGAGGATCCCAGGGCCTAGCTCAGCCTGCCAGTTGGCCCTGCCAGTTGGTCCCTCCCTGCCCAGCCAGCTTGTCTCGGTGCTGCGCCCCATGCCCACCCTGACCTCCGCCTGCCACTGCCTGGACCCTGGCCTGGTGAGTGTCAAGGGGGCTGGCCACACCTTTGCTGCACACTGTCCCGCGTCTGCTCAGCTCGCCGGCTGTGCTACAGTCCCTTCCCCCAGCACACACGGGATGTAAGCCTCATGTCCAAAGCAAGCCGAGTTAAGGAAAGAGCAGGGAGTTGTTTGGTCAGAATAGGGAGCAAAAAGGGTCCAGGGAGTCCCACGTGGCGCAGTGAGAACCACAGGCTCGGCCAGGCCCAGCACGTGCAGAGCCCAGCGAGACGTTCCCCACCCCTCAGAGGGCCTCTGGTCACACAGCGGAAAAGGACGCTGCACACCAGCCTGGCTCCCCACGGTGTACTCACGACAGGCTGCTCAGGCGACACTGAGGGCGCTTCAGGACAGTGGCCAGCTGCTTCACGAATGGGGATGCCAGGGCGACGTCGGTCATCACCACGGCCTGCAGGTCCCCGTTAGAGTTGAGAATGGAGAGGACGTCTCCCCACCAGCGGCAGTGCCTGTCCCTCTCCAATGTCCTGTGTGAGAGCCGGGAGGAGCAGGGGACAGACGCATCAGACAGTGGACTCGGGGAGCTCCAGGGAGGGCCAGCCGGTCGTGGGGAGAGGAGACGCCGTGTCACGTCTGCAGTCAGGGCTCTGCTCACTCCAGTCGCCCGTGTTAGGGTTGCCACTTAAAACTACACTGTGCGTCTATTTACTGCAGAAAGAATGGCTATCATCAGGAATTCAAATAATAACGTGCTGGAGGGGCTGTGGGGAGAAAGAATCCTCGCCACCGCTGGTGGGAGTGCAGACTGGTGCAACCACTGCGGAGAAGAGCGGAGAGCGGGGCGGAGATTCCTCAAAGACTCACACAAGAAATCCCATCTGACCCAGCGCTCCCCTGCTGAGCCTCCTCCCCAGAGAGCTAAAAAGCCTGTTCCTGCGGGGCAGGCGGGCTCATGCCTCTAGCAGCGCTACTCCTCACAGCTTACGTCTTAGCAGCAGCCCGTCTGGTCGCCCACAGGTGACTGGATGAAGAAGATGTGGCATTTGCCCACAGCGTGGGACTTGGTGAAGCTTGAGGCCCTCAGCTGAATGAAATAAACCAGCTTGAACATCACGGGGCTTCCTTTACGGGGAAGCGTAGAGTCTAAACAACTGAAAGAGCCGGCAGGAACCAGGGAGCTGGGATCTGAAGAGGGGGTGCCAGGAGGGAGGGGAGGCGCGGGGCAGGAACAGCGAAGGTGCAGGACTGCTCCGCATGCACACACACCGCGGAGTCTGCCAGCGGGGCTGGGGAGGAGGACGCACTCACCCGGCCAGCGGGAGGCTGTCCCCCGGCCCCGGCTGCAGGGCCTCCCTGAGGGCCTTGGAGATGATCAGCTCAACGTGCTTCAGTTCCCGGCAGTGTGGGAAGCAGAAGGCAGCTGCCTGAAGGTCGCGGTCGCCGTCCAGCCTCAGGACGACCTTGCTCAAGCCTGTCAGGGCCAAGCTCATGAAGATTTCTCCCTTGAGCTCGGGCAGGCAGTGGAAGAGCTGTGGGGTGGCCCGGTCCAGGCGCAGCGACTGGTTCTCGTACATGGCGTTGATGACTTTGATCACCTTGGCCCGGTTCTCCGTGGTCAGCTTGTGTTGGACATTGCACTCCACCACAGTGGCGCAGGCCGAGTTTAAAAGGCCAAAGAGGAAAAAGCCCATGTGGGCCTGATAGCACCAGTCGTCCGCAGGCCCGGCCAGCAGGGCCCAGATGTTGATGCTGCCCAGCACGTGGTAGCGCTTCAGCCTATGTGGGAAGAGGAGCAGGTAGAGGAGGGCGGCCAGCAGCTCCTGGAAGATGAAGAGGGTGAAGAGGTAGGAGACCTTTCGGCGGCCCACCACCTTGCGGAGCACATTGGTGTCCAGGAAGGTGGCGACGCTGGCCTCGTCCAGCCTGGCCCGGGACAGGTCCTCCTTGTTGAACCGGCACTTCTGATCCCACATGCCGCGGGCCGCCAGCAGGCACAGGCTCTCCAGGGAGCCCCCGGCCCTGAGGCTGGGAGAGCCCCGCAGCAAGGTCGAGAGGAACAGCACCAGCACCGAGGTGACGTTGGGGCATGCCTCCGCCCACAGCCCCCTTCGCTGCCTCAGGCTGCAGCAGACTGCCCAGCACACCACGGGCACCCGGCACAGGGACCCAAGGGCTGCATTCTCTGCCATGAAGTTTAGGGCCTCATTGCCCTGCCTCGTGTTGCCAAAATACATCCTGAAGTATTCGATGATTTCTGTCCTGTCGAACCCCGGGAGGTTGACAATAGAGGGCTGCGTGAACAGGTGGCTCAGGGTGCACCAGGACGCCGGCCTGATGGCCACCAGCCGCGAGGCCCCCGCCAGCATGGTGCCACTCAGCAGGGAGCTCAGCAGGATGGAGCCAGACAGCTGCTGCTCCAAGTCTTGGCTCAGCTCCTCCAGCCCTGGGAGGACCTTGGGCTCGAGCTCCTCAAAGCCGTCGAAAATCAGCAGGAGCTGCTCAGGACGCTTGAAGATGAAGGCTGGAGACCCGTACAGCTGGCGCCCAATCAGACCCCAGCAGCTCTGCCTCCACTCCTCCATCACCTCCCGGCAGTGCAAGTAGAAGGCGAGCCAGGCCTTGTGGGGGTAGAAGGTGTCCCGGGCCCACGCCAGCATCACCTGCTTGACCAGCGTGGTTTTCCCAATGCTCGGCACCCCCCAGAGGATCACGGTCTTGGGCGGTGCACACTCGACCCTTCTGGGCAGGAAGAGACACGGCAGGAATGCCTGGTGCTGGCGCGCCTCTCTGTATAGGAAGTCCTCCTGGCTTCCGGGCCACACCCTGCGGTCCCATACCTGGTAGTACTTCTCAGCCACTCGCTGTTTGTAGGCCCTTATTTGATCTGGATTCAAGACAGGAGAGCAAGGGTGATTGGCAAGAACTGAGAATCCAGCAAGGAGATGCTGTGGTGTCCCACCGACCCCAGGAGCTGTAGGGACAGCTGCACCCAGGCTTGGGGCCCACGTCACACGGCCTAGAACTGCCACACAAGCTCCTCAGCTTCGAGGAAAGTATTTGTTGTACTGCGAGGCCTTTTATCTTTACGTAAAGCAAGAACAGGGCAGAACCCTGGGATGGGCAGCGGGAGTGGGGCCTGTCTGCAGCCACTACCCCACGTGTGTCTCCCCCTGGCTGTCACAGGGGCAGAGCGAGGTCTCCTTGTGTTCCTGGCTGGCTGGCGGGCAGCAGGAGCTGCCAGGACTTGAGTTCTCGCCCTGCTTGGTTTCCCAACTCTGAGCGGCCCGTGGAGCCTCGAGCACCGAGCCCAGGACCAGGATCCGCATCACCGCCAGCCCTTGGGGCTCTGTTGTGCTGAGACTGAACTGTGCCAAGGTTGTCCTCAGCCCCTGTGACCCTCTGGCCACTACACTGTGGTGCCCACGGAACACAGGTTCCTTCTGCATCCTGCCGTGGCTGGGTCTGGGGTCTACCCACTGTCCCCTGCTGCCACTCACCAGATTCATTCCACTCCACGGTCTCTGGCGTCTCTCTCGGATTCCCACCCTCAGGTCCTAGGTGAGGGAGAACAGCTGGAACAGAGAAGAGCGGGCTCCTGTTGGCACAGGGCGGGGTCCCAGCACAGCGGCGGAAGTGCACTTGGCAGTGAGGTTTGGCGCTGCCGTGCATACCAGCAGGACTGGCCCTGTGACCTGGGAAATGGCCCCTCCTGCTCTCACACTGTGGCACCACCGTGGCTGGCCTAGCTGCTCTGATGTGCTCGGGCGCCATCAGGGACCACGCACAGAGGCCCAACCACTCTGTCCCTGTGACCTCAGGGTCACTGGGGTTATCTACTATGCTGTTCACCGCAATGAAACCATGCAGCGACAGGGCTCTCAGGTGTGTCCTGTCACCGGGCAACACACGGCGCACGTGTGTCCCCCACCATCCCAGTGCACCTCATGGTCGCTAGCTTCTCTCCTACAAGCAGGATGTGCAGATGCAAAAGACAGATGCTGCCTTGTGAGGCTAGTCAGCCGTCCTCCGTGACCTGCGCTTTCTGCTCAGGCGGGCTGGCGCTCACCCAGGAGCCGAGTACTAGGTGCTCAGTTCTTCAGCCCTCAGCCCACCCTGTCCCCCTGGGCGCTAGCCCCTCACTCACCTGTGAGCTCTTCTTGCACCTGGACACACATTTTCTCCTTGTTCATCCTGGTGAAGATGCTGTGAGCCACATCCCAAGCTCGCCGGCCTGGGCACCGCTCCACCAGGAAGTGGACCACTTCCGCCCAGCTGGCCTTGGCCAGCAGGTCCCAGGTGACGGCGCGGGGGCTGGGCCCCAGCTGCTCCTCCACCAGCAGCCACTTGAACCCTTGCAGCTCCTCCTGGCTCAGGCTAGCCATGTACAGCATGAGGCCATTTTCCCAGGGGGAGGCGGAGGGCCTGACCGTTGTCTGGGACATCGTCAGAGAAGAGGGGGAGGCTGCAGGGAGAGGAGGGTACTGTGTTGGGTTCCTGTCACTCATCTTGTCATGCTAGTAAAGACAGCTGACCAGGAGTGAGGGCAGGTAAGACCTGTGGAGACATGGAGGAAGAAAATGGAAGGGCTGGCCCAGTAGCTCAGCGGATTAAAGTGCCTGCTTAGGCAGATGCAGGGGTCAGAGGTTCGATCTCTGGCCTGCTGTGCCCGGGGCATGGTGGCTTGCGCCTGTAATCCCAGTGCTTGGGAGGCTGAATACAGGTGGATCACTACCAGTCTGATCTACGTGGTGAGACCCTGTAGACTCTGTAGAGCCTTACTAAAGTAGAAAGAAAAAGGGAGGAAGGGAAGGAGGGAGGGAGGGAGAAAGGGAGGGAGGGAGGGAGGAAGGGAGGGAGGAAGGAAGAAAGGAAGGAAGGAAGGAAGGAAGGAAGAAAGAAAGAGAGAGAGAGAGAGAAAAGAAAGAAAGAAAGAAAGAAAGAAAGAAAGAAAGAAAGAAAGAAAGAAAGAAAGAAAGAAGAGCCAAGCTGGGCCTGGTGCTGCAGGCCTGTCGTCCAGCGTGCGGGAGGCTGAGGAGGGAAGATGGCAGTCTGGGTGCAGCCCGGGCAGTGTAGTGAGATCCTAAGTGGTTTTGAAGGCTGGCGACGTGGCTCAGTGCGAAGGTCCTGGGTTCGAGCCTCAGTACACAGCTAACAAGCACCAGCCACGAGGGCAGACTCTCTCAGGCCATGTTTGGCAGAACATGCCGCGTCCGCCGCCGTTCCTCAGGCGTCTCCGCTCTGTGGACACACAGGGTGCGGAAGCACGAGTGTTTAAACCCGAGCCCACGCCGTGGTCGTTGCCTCCTCTGCTCTCGTGTGAGAAACAGGCAGGCAGTGCGCTGATGCTTTTATGAGCATTTAAACAAAAAGAAAAAAATAATAAACAGAAATTAGAAGCAGGTAAAATAATTAATCTAAAATCTAGGAACTACATGGCCAGGTAGAAATCCCCAGTTGGGGCTGGAGAGATAGCTCAGCAGTATAGGCACCTGCCTGGCAAGCACAAGGACCCAGCTTAGATCCCTGGCGTGGTGGCGCACGCCTGTAATCCCAGAGCAGGGGAGGCTGAGACAGGAGCATCACTAGGAGTCTGAGCTGCGTAGTGAAACCCTGTACTAAATAAATGGATAGATAAATGATTAAAAATATTTTTTTAAAAAAGAAAGAAATCCCCATTTGGACTAAAAAGCTTCTAAAATTGAAAAAAAAAAATGTACCTGGAATGGAACGCAGGACCTTGTGCTTGCCAGGCAGGCACTTGTGCTGATGAGCTACATCTCCGGCCCTTAAATAAAATTTTTATTCCTCACATCGCAGGCACACTTTTGTCCCCCCAACTCCATTCCATAGTAACACTTTTGCTCCACAATTTTCCCCTCATAACTTCTTTAATTTCAATTTTTGTTTTGAGACAGGGTCTCTATCTAATTCACATTGCACTGGAACTCTACCTACTCCAAATCAGCTTCACACTTGGGGCGACCCTCCTGCCTCAGCCTCCCGAGGGCTAGAATTACAGGCATGCGCAACCATGCCCGATGCCCCCGCATAACTTTTTATTTCACACCCAAATCTCTAGATAAACATGTTAACGTATGCACGTGTGTGTGTGTGTGTGTGTGTGTGTGTGTGTGTGTGTGATATTGGGGACTGAACCTAGGGACTATGTCCTGAGCCATATGCCCAGTGCATTCATTTATTTATTTTCAATCTTTAAAACAGCCCTGCTAAGTTGCTAACTTTCCCAGGCTGAGCTCACACTTGTGAACCTGCTGTCTCAGCCTCCAAGACTGCTAAGATTTCAGGGGCACACCACCATGCCTGGTTAAGCGTATTCAATGTCTTGTTTCCCTTTGGATTCCGACAGCTGGACTTGCTTCTGTGACAAAGGTGCTAGCACTCCTCCAGCCCAGAAGGTGGTGCTGTCTTCAGAAACGGGCCCCAGCCACAGGAGGGTGGTCTATCTCTACTCACCACGTGAGTATGGCTTGTCACTTCCCAGCCTCGCTGAGCTGCAGTTTTAAGACATTTAGAGGGCAGAGGACTCAGGCAAAGGAGCGCGTCGCCTTTAAATCACCCGGCCTCTCTCCAGTCACTGCATGGGAACACCCCCAGGAAGTCCTCTCTGGGGCTCTTTCTGTGCAGAAAGCTGTGACCCAGATTCTGCTTGCAGGCTGCTCTACAGATGCATGAGGTGACCCGCGGATAAGCCAGCCTTTCTTAGTCCCTTTGGGCTGCTACAAGTCCTAGACGCTGCAGGGGCCTATAAGAAGTATCATTTCTCACAGCCCTGCAGGGTGGAAAGCCCTAGACAGGGCTCTGGCAGGTTCAGGGTCTGGTGAGACCCCTGTTCCTTGCTCACAGATGTCACCTGCCAGCTGTGTCCTCATGTGGCGGGAAGGAACAAGCGCTCCCGGTGGTCTCTCATGAGGTCACTAATCCCTGTGACAACGACTTCACCAGCTCACAGAGCCTCGCCTCCAGTCTCCTCATGCCCTCGGAGGGGAGCTCCAGCGTAGGGGCTTTGCGACACGAACATCATTCCACCGCACGCTGCCCGCAGCTGTGCTCTCTCAAACACCCAAGTGCCAAAAACGTGCCATGGTGTCAAGGGTTGGCACTGAGAATACACTGGCAAGCGAAGAACATGAAAATCTCTTTGCTCTCCACGTCATCACCTCAGCAGACGGATATAAAGTAGAATGCTGTAGCAGAAGGCGACACAGACCTTGGAAGCCCAGGACGAGAGCTGGTAGTGAGCCAACAGGAAGCGAGACCGGGTCACGTGGAGGCTGTTAGGAGGAAGGCGCGCTTGGAGGGGCTGTGGAGACCGGGGGAATCTCCAGAGAAGGCGCGGCAGGCATCCAGGCCTGCGGCCAGCAGCCCAGAGCTGCATGAGATCCCGGGAGAGACAGTGGGAGCGGAGGGGACTGGCTGAGGCGACAGCAGGGCCGCTGGCGCTGCCTGCCTGGGCCCCGGTGATCATCTTTGTGGCTTTGCCCTCCTTCGAGATAGGCGCTCTGGGAGGGCTCTGAGAGGAGCCCGTGGCAGGACTGTTACTTTCAGCAGGGCCCTTGGGCTCTCGTGCTGAGCACAGGGCTAGAAGGAGCAGAGAGCGTCTGGGGCTGGCTGGAGGGGCAGCGCGGGCACAGAGACGGGCCATGTCCTGGGCATATGCTGGTGCCTTGGCGCACTAACCTCTCCCATTCAGTGGTCCTGAAAGATGGCCGTGGTCATGTTTGTCCCCTGATGCAGTGTGCAAACAGAAACAAAATTTTGGGGCTGGGGAAATAGCTCAGTAGAATAAGTGCTTGCCTGGCAAGCGGAAGGGACTGAATTCAATCCCCGGTTTTGCAAAAAAAAAAAAAAAAAAATTTGCCAGACACTTCTGTTTGCGAGCCAGGTTATTCACGTTCGTAAACCGAGGTCCCACTGTCCTTTGAAGACAGGTTCTGTGCGCGTGTTTCTATGGAGGGGAAATGCACTGAGTATGTGGTCAGACATTTGGAAATGCCTCACGCTGTGGCATTTGGACACCGACAAGGCCCCAAAGGCCACCTCTTCCTGCCACGCGCTGCACAACGGTGCTTCAGTCAGTGACGAGCTGCCCACTCAGTACCATGGCAGCGTGTCACGGAGTGGCCTCATCGTCTCAGAGTATGCAGCCAGTGATGACTCCACAGTGACCAAGTTGTCCCTGTTACTAGGTGACACGTACTTCTAAACGTCACCCCAAAGGAAAGCTTACGCCCACTCAGCAGAAATTCTTCACACCCCCTTCTGAACGTCGGGGACACGGCTCTGCCTCCGTCTTCCTGTGTTTCTCTTCTCCTCACTTTTTTTCTTGTTTTTTGAACTCAGGCCCTTGCACTTGCTAGGCAAGCGCTTATTCTACTGAGCCGTCTCCCCGGCCCGTTTCCCTTCTCTAGATGTTTTATGTTCAGGGCCTCAGAGCTGGGGGAGCTTGCCGGTGGCGTGGAGGCAGGGTAGGGAAACGGGCAACTGGGAAAAAGATGAAAAGGGTCTTCAGCTTAGGTAAGTGAAGGGCTGGCATTACCACCTCTGGAAACAGGGACACCACAAGACCTGCAGGCTCCTGCGCAGGGCGCAGGGTCAGGGGTAGCTCTCTGGGCATCCTGCCAGGCGCGCAGTCCTCTGGATGGTGCCTTCCACAGGACACTGGGACGCGGGGACGCTGGGACTCGGGGCTGCTGGGATGCGGGGCCGCTGGGACGCGGGGCGGGGGTGGGGGGATCTGCAGCGCAGCCATGATGTTGGCAGCAAAAGCATATTTAACAGACACACCATGCTGCAACCCATGGATGCAGTGAAGCCATGCAGAGGGACAGTTAAGGAAGGAAGTCGAAGGAGGGATCCTGGGTGCTCTGGAGGTGGAGGGCTGCTAGAGGGATCAACAGAGGGGGCAGCATGGTCAGGTGGCTGCCAGGGCAGGGGGCGTCCTGCGAACTGGGGAAGAAGGGGCGGTGAGATAGCTCAGCACACTAAGCACCTGCTTTGGCAAACGCAGGGACCAGGGTTCAATCCCCACTCCCACATGCTGCGCTGGCCCCACCCCCGGGATGTGCTGAGCCTGCGACCCAGTCGGGCGAGGTAGCGCCTGCCTGTAATCCCAGCGCTGAGGAGGCTGTAAACAGGAGGATCACTACAAATCTGAGCTGCGTAGTAACAGCCTGTACCAAATAGATAAATGAAAACAGAACAGGAAATTGGGGGAGACCTGCTTCGTGGTGAGCAACTCCAAGCTGTGCCCTGATAGCACAGGGTCACAGGAAACCTCAGAACGAGAGCACCTTTGGTAGAGTTTTGGGGACAGCAAGTCTGCTCCGAGGGCACGAAGACACACAAAGGAGAGACGCAAAGTGTAGACGGCACCTGAAGTCCTCTTCTGTGAGCTAGGACTTCGCTTCACCCTCCGCAGAGG